GATTATTTCAGCAAGTCAATTTTCAGCCGCTTCCCGAATGTTTTGCAACAGTTTGAATCAGAACAAAAAAGGATTTCCGTTGGAATTTTATCTCTTACAGCAAACATTTGGTGCATTATGAAGTGAAAAAGTAAAACATGAGACGGCAGCACAGAAGCGTAGAGGAGATAAAAAGGAAAAGCAATTGTGTTTCAAAAAGCAGTTTGTTCCCTCAGTTCTCAGTCATATCTTGATAAAAGATGCCGTGCCGATAAGGAAGAGCTGACTGGCAACGAACACCTCCTGTCTTAACTTCTTAGATGTTCTCAACAAAAATACTAGATTTGAATAATGTTCAAATTGTGAAACTTGTTTTAATTTTAAGGCATTTTTCTAAGCTGGGGTTAAATATAAATGATAAGGTTATTTGTTACAGGGTGAGGAGCTGCAACTCGTCAGGGAAGCTCTGCGCAGTCTGAGGGACAGTTTCTCGGGTCACGACCCCCAACATCACACCCTGGACACTTTGGAGCAGGGCGTGGCCAGTCTCATTGACCGACTGCACTCCTTGGACATCCAGCGGAGGCAGGACAGAGGGGTAGGCTCTCTCTCGCTGGAGAAATGCTGTCACTTAAGCAATGATGACTCAATCACACTGTTTACTATGAGTAACTGGCTGTTCTTCCAGGAGGAATTCAAATCACCGGGACGTAGAGCCAACTTAACAGACCGTGACTCCTGGCCGCCCAGCTCTAGTGAGACAAACAAAATTGGTTGTTTTATTTAATATTTGTTATCTGCTGCAACATCTAAACTTGATCTGTCAAATCGAATTACCCCATCACTGTATATGGAGGAGAATGCAGAAACAGGCTGTACTGGCTTTGCAATCTGATTGCAAAAACCCAGCGTTTGATGCGTTTGTTGTTCTTTCCAGAAATGGCCCACTCGCACAGCAGTCCAGGATTAGATGCTGCCGTCGCCACTAAAGTGCTCTACTTCACAGATCGCTCGCTCACTCCGTTTCTGATTAACATCCCAAAAAGGTGAAAGTAAAACGACTCTTAATTGTGGGTTTATGTAGCCGCGTCGGTTGCTTCTCAGTGAGACGCAGGCTTTTTCGGCAAATTGCTGTCTGAGTGAGGGGTGGATTGAGGCATGACCAGAGCTTTGATACAGGTCCTTCAGTGGCTTTGTGTTTATCCTAGAAAGGCCTAATGTATGCGTGGGTGCACGAATGCATAGATTGTGACTGACAGCGTGTTCTTACAGGCTGGGAGAAGTGACACTGCGAGACTTCAAGGCTGCTGTAGACAGACAAGGCAATTTCAGATACCACTTCAAGGCCCTGGACCCTGAGTTTGGCACAGTGAAAGAGGAGGTAAGGCCCTACAGAAGTAAAATAAATTATGCTTCAACTCCATCTTTATAACAATGTAGGATGACTCATTTCCATTCCAGAGGGATTATTGTTTTTCTTGCTTTGTGTTGTACATTTAAAACACAAGCCTTTCAGAAATGCAAACGCTGGATGTTGGCTGTTCAGGTGTTTCAGGATGGAGCGATTGTGCCTGGCTGGGAGGGGAAGATCGTAGCGTGGGTGGAGGAGGACCACGGAGAGCGGAGGTAGAGCCTCAAAACGCCAGAGATCACTACTACAAACCTCAGTTGTTCCCACTGGATCAAGACTCCTCTGATAATACATGCGATGCCATATTAAAGTAGCTATTACAATTGGGACCAATGGAGACAACACCTTTGAATTCACAGGAATTAAAGTCTTAAAATGTGAATGTTTCGTACCAAGAAATGAACTTGACATGTGGCCGCTGCTTTCTTTAATATGATGCATATTATACAGTGTTTGCAGCTTGAAGATTAACATGTGAAACTGCAGTTTAATGGTCAGTAGTGCCATAATTGAAGCTCTGAACGGTAAAACAGTGTTTATTTTTTACATTGAGGCTGTAATCTGTGCATTGTGTGCAAAAACCTCAAAATCGAAAATGTTTACTGACATTTCTCATAAGTTCCATGTTGCCAAATGTTGTTGTTGTTGTTTATTCTGCATCAACTTTGATGTTTTAATAAAGATAAATTATTGCACGGGTCATTTTAGTAACAATTATTCCCCCTGCAAACAGCAGAGTAATAAAGCTGTGCTAGCGATTATGCACCTCTGCTTAAACATTAGTAAACACCCACAAATTGCTATCATGGCCAATTAATTCTCCAGGAAGGTGGGGGGTTAGGAATTAAATTCACTGCTGCATGTTGTCCCATCTGGCACATGGTGACAATTCTGTTTATTTTAGAAACATTTTGTTGCTGAAAAAGGACGATTTACAAACTGTTAGTTTGACGCAGTGCATGTGTCCCTCAGCAGTGTGTTATATAAATTTGTTTGGTTCACTTTGAGTATTTTCAATATCAAAACTCCCTCTTAGTAATATTCATTTCCCCCCTCTAAAAGGCCATTTATCACAAAACATCCACCATCAAAGTAAGCCTGTGTTTCTTCTTGTTGAAAATGGCCGAGGCAGTCTCCTCGTTTACAGTTGTTGGCAACTCCAGAAGCAGATAGTACACATCCTCCACTTCCAGAAGAACATCTTTCTGTGGAGCAAAATGATTCAGAACACTGTTAGGCTCCCATAAGCCAGCCATGTATTTTTCATAAGATCCAGCCATGCACTGGCGCACACTGGAATCGAAGTGGTTCATTATAACTTCTGGAGGCAGTGTGTAGCTGCTAACCTCGGACACTTGCAGCCGGCACTCTGACACGGAGCGAACCCCTGGCAGCTCCACTGTCAGCTCCACGCTGCGAGGGACTCCTGCTGTATCAGTCTTCACCTCCAGTTGGTACTCTGGCTTCTGAGGCTCTACAGAAGTGGTGGATATGACCTGGATCAAATCCTTTTTGTTCTCTGTAGGTCTGCAGCTAATTTGGGGCGCAGAGTCGTCATCTAATTTGTCTGACGGATTAGATAAGATTGAGATGAGGGAAGCTGGAGTCTGACAAGCTGTGAAAAGGCGGTAAAAGATAGATTATAAACCTTAAAAAGGACAGAAAATAAGGCCCACATAAAGGGCTTGCCATCAGGGATGAAGGCTTGTTTACCTGGTTTTGGTTGTTTAAAGGGGTGCTGCGTTTGAAACCCAAGTCGACGGTATAAGTCATCTGGGCTACTTTTTGGGCTGAAGTTGACAACACTGTACTCTGGAGATAACTGCATCCCATGCTGCTGCTGGGCAAAGCTCAGGGCCAGCTTATAAATATTGGTTATGTCAACCTTATCTTTACTCTCCTGTAGCACTGCAGGATTTAATGCCACATCCAACACAGCACACCAGCCTGCAGAGGAAACAGCTTTTGAGTTTGTTGTTTTTGTTGTCACGTAACACAGCGGACAGTCCTGTGGCTTAAGACTCACCTTGACCTCCGATGATCTCTTGTTCCAGTTTGCCTCCGCACATTGGTAAAGGGCTTCTCAGAGTTTGCGGTGCAGGAACACGTTTCCAGCCGAATATATTAATGTAAAGCAAGCCTGGTTTTGGTTCCTGATGAGGACACAGATGTACCGTCAAGGAACCGTCATAACCTGACATTTTTCATAGCTATAAATATACCCAAGTTGGACAGATTTACAGATGTGGCAAAAGTCTGATGTTTCCTGTGAGGAGACAGACAGCTGAAACAGTCGATCAATTTTTCAACCAAAGAACAATAGAAAAAAAACTGTACTCACTTTACATTGTTTGAATGTCTTTAATTTTATTTACTGTGACAGATGGTCTGAGAACTTGCTATGATGAGGTCTAATGGTAAAACTTCATATTAGTAATACCGAACTGTGGGGTTGTATATGTATAATATATTAAATTAAATAACTGAAATAAACATGATGGCATGGCATATAGATAAATGTTATACATTTTGAAGATCTGTCAGAGTGATTGCACTTAAAGTTAGCACATGTTGACAAGTGTATGCTTTACTACAGCTTACCATTATAAAAAATCTCATCTCTGTAGTGTATTTGTTTAAATTGCATGGTAAACATTGAGAAAACTGTCCTGAAAACTTATAATAATAATAATAATAATAAAAGGCATACAATTCTGGTCTAAAGATAGCTACATATTCTAAGTGAGTCACCACATCTGTCCATCATGTCACACTGATGGTTTGTGTATAAGGCAAGCCAATATACCATGTAATAATGAAAACGGCTCACAGTAGAAATCCATATTTCAGATTTTCCAAGTAAAAAATAGAAATCAGACATCCAGAATGCCATTCTGTGCATTGCTGCTCAAATCAAATTCTGGAAGTGGTCATTCAACTAGATCTGTTACAAAAGGACAACTGATATTACCAACTTTTAAAAACTGTT